ATATCACTTGTACTGATAGCAATACTAGGGTTGTTGAGGAGCAAATCCCAGCAGGAGAGTATCTCCCTCTGCCGCTTTCAGTAGATTCTGAAGATCTTATAAGCTGGATTCAATGCTTATCTTCTAGGAAATCACTAATTATTAATTTTTCCTAAACAAGGACAATTCAGGTAACAGTTATTTTAATGTGTCAAAAATGTTACAAGCATAGATTTTTGCCCTCAGTTCTATCTTGCTGACCTACTTTCCAAATTTTACCTGATTTCGCAAAAACATTAGTATTGTGTTAGCAGGACTGAAGGAAGGATGAACTATGAATTGTGCAGAGGGAGTGAAAGGGAAGTTTAGGGTATAATGTAGTTTCAGCTAGTACCTGACGGATTCCTCGCGTCATAGTTGAAGTACCAGTAGAATACTACTAAGCAGCAAATAGAAATACCTTTAGGCTATTTAACGGAGTAAACTTGGCCTTCAGCACTGAATTGTCTAGATTTTTTTAATTTATTTTTTAAAAATTAAATTGGTTCATTGTTCTTTAGCATTTTTAATACCTTGAAGATTCTTCATCATACTGTTTGGAAACTGTTTCTGGAGAACGTTCTTTCCTAAAAATGACTTAAATTTAGGGACTGTAAGATGAGTGAAGCTCCTCATAAAATTATTATTTTTGTTTTCTCTGTGGATAACCTGTAATGGGGACCTGTAACTGTTCTGGCAAGTTTTCTGCATTGGCTAAGCTTTACTAGTAAGTGTCCTTCTGAACATGAAAACTATACGAGACTCAAACTCTTCATTTGTAGTTCATGTTTGAATATATCTTCTCTCTCATGTAAGCACGGATTGGGGCATTAAGCATTAAATAATGACAGGCCTGTTAGAGGTAAATTGAAAAATTACTTAGACCTGAGAAGTATGAGGAAATGGGTGAATTAAGGCCAGTAGATTAGAAAACACAAATAGCTTATATTCAAGCAGAACAAGAAAGCATTTATTCCTTTAATTGAAAATTACTGTGTTTTCTGTTATGTTCTTCTGTGGCTTAAGCTAATCTCTAAAGAAGTCCTGAGGTACTTAACATTAATTTTGTAATGGATTCCAATCATAACAGTACTTTGAAATTGCAGTTGTACTTTAGAAGTATACAGCCTTTTTCAACTGTTAAAAGAATGGTTCTGAAATTCTTACTGAGGAAATTGGACAAGCTCTATCAAATCACAGAATTGAACAGAAACATATGATGATGCTTCTTACAGTTGACTTGAAATAATAAAATGCTATATACCATGCTAATGATCTTTACTACCGAACATTAGTTGTAGGAAGGGCTGTACTGAACACAGGAGATGTGCAACTTTGTGCATTTTTTGTGTGTGTCTGATTTTAAGTTGTGCAAAACTTGTTTTCAGCGAAACAGTAGAGTGATCGCTTCCTTATTTAGTGGAAGGTGTATGGGTGGAATCGATGAAGTGCATCTGAACACTTCTACAAAAAATGGCTTCACCTTTGAAAAGCCACAGATAAATAAGCATGTAAAATTTAGATGAAAAATTAGTAGTTAAGGGAGCCGGCTCCTGTTATTAGGAGATAACTCTCTATTTGGCTTGTTACATGCAACCTAACCAGTGTTTCATAGCTTCTGAGTTAGCTTGTTTCTGAGACTAAGGAAGAATGTGAATTGTAATTCTCATCTCCACACCTTGCAGCTTTTACATCTACAAGTAGAATGGAGTTCTGTTAATTTCTCCAATTAGAAAGTCTAGTAGTTCATCTAGATACATCTGGGTTTTAAAAACAACTTACAGCTAGAAAAACATAAGGAAAGCACCTCTTGCCTGTTGCCAAACAAATTTTACTGGCATTCTTAAGGCATGTCAGATGCTATTTTTGTAGGTGTAATTATTAAATTTTAAGTATTAGTGGCAGTTATCAGATAGTATGTTTGGATAGTCCTGGGCCATCTTCCCATACTGCTCTTTGTTCTTCCTCCTTGTCTTCTCTGTTCTGTTCTTTCATTACGAGCTACTGCTACTCTTTCATGTCCTCTTCAGCATCTACTTTTCTCTGTTTTATCTTGCGTTAGTCCTTTCACTTTATTTCCTTCCGTTACTTTCTCCATGTTTTCACAAACATATATGTATTTCAGCTCTCCTGCTCCCACCAATTATAAGGCAAACTCCACTTTTAACATAACCTGAGAAATGCCTGGGTTGAGCCAAAACAGTAAAGAACAGATTTGGCATTTCAGCTTAAAAAAGAAGGGGACTACCACCACCTCCTATCCATAGCTAGAATATCTTCATTTTTCCATTATTTAGGGTATAATCTTGGCAAAAAGCAAGTACTTCTCACCTGTTGGAAGAAATTCCAGCACTCACTCCATACACCCAACTGTAGTCCCTATTTCTGTATCTTTATTTGGCAGAAGCATCGTTGTGTCTTTAAAAAGAGGCAGTTTGAGGAGAGGTTCCTCCCAGTCTGTGCTGACTGCAGAAAGGAGAAGGGGCTCTTGCTTATTTCCAAGCTTCTTTTGTCATTGCACTTCTCCACCTCTGTCTTCCACTGTTCAGTGCACTGGGGGCTGTGGTGGGACTGTGCATCGTTGGTGCTGGGCGGTTCTCCTGGCTGGCTGGTTGCACGGTGGGGAGAAAAGTTGATTCATAGAAGGAGGATTTGTAGACTCATGGAGGCGTTGCATGTGGTTCATATGTCAGAAGTTGCCAGTACAACTGCTGAGATAAGAGATGCCTCACACTCCAAATAACAAATACAAAAAGGCTAGCATTATTCAAGGGAAGGGTTCCTGTTGTTGCAGGATGCGTATGGGAGTGTTTGGAAATGTGCGGTTTCTTCTTGTATATCTATATTTCATGTTATCCTTCAGTTCTGGATGGTTTTCATGGCAAAGGTAGTACTGCTAGTTTAGATGAATGCAGATTAAAACTGTGACAGAGTAGATGATAGCAAATGCTTTGATTACGGTGTAGTGTAAGGATTATTTAAGTGTGCACAGATTTATAAGCTTGTAGTTTTAACTCCATCTGTAGCGAGATAAAGGCTTTTCTTTTAAATTATAACAACTATTGTATGAATTTATGTAAGTTCCTTGAAATAAACATAGCAATTCCATATGAAGATATTTTTATACTTTAGAGAAGGGCAATGAAATTTGTGGAAAGCAATGTGAAAAATTAATGAGGCGAAATGGGATGATGAGCGAATGAATTGGGGAAGAAAAATAAATCAGTAGTGGGAAATGGGCTTTTTCTAGCATTATTAAGCCACATCTATGACAGCTACCTTGATGCTGTTCCTGTGAAGGTCTCCCCAGGTTTGTTGCAAATTATTCTGTAATTTAATCTTTCCTCTACTACCCATCACCTTCTAGTCCTGGTTTTCTTCAGTTTGAATTAGTCATCTGGAGAAGTTAGGGCAGGGCAAACTGCAAGGGTAATTTTAAAGTTTGTTCTGACTTTCGAAAATAGCTCTGCATGTTCATGCTCTGGCAGAGCATAAAACAAAGAAACGCAGCCTGCTGTGTTAGAGTACCTGTGTCAGATCAGTCTGTCTGGCACCGACATTAGCTGCTTTTTTTTTTTTTTTAAAGAAAGCAACTGCTATTTTTCTTTAGGCAGAAGAAAGTTTCTTTGACATATCTATTTAGTCTGTGGGCACAAATAACACCACGCAGCTGCCCTGGTTCCCCTTGACTACTCATCATGCCTTCGCAGCTGATTAAAGAAATGAATCTTTTTCCCCTACATTGTTCTTGCTCTTTTTACCCATTCCTCAGCTGTCTCTGTGTACTGGGCCTGTCTCTTCTCTGCCCTACATGGGCTTCTTGCTTGGAATCAGCCTTCCCCTTTGCTGCTGAACAGGTTAGCTGTGTTCTGCACTAACCCCTTGTACCCCTTCTTCACAGGACGTCCTTTTCCCTGACCTCTTTGCTTATGTGAACTTTAGCTGTGTAAGGTGGCCTTCAGTGATGACCCTTGTCAGCCTGCTCTTCTCTTTTTAGATTTTTCAGTCTGAGTGATTCCTGTGTTTACTCCTAAGCTAGAGTAGCAATCACCCCATGTATTACCAGAAGATAATTAAGGAGATGACAGGAAAGTGAGATTACATGTGCTTGAAGAGTTGTCCAAAGTCTGTCATGTCTCAGTCCTTTAAATAGCCCCAGTACCTGGCAGATGAAAAACATGTTTTTAAACACTGTGTTCCAAGTCCCTGAAATGACTTCATCTCTAAATAGAGGTTCATGTAAAAACTTCTATTCATAGCTGGGGGTGGGGGGAGAACCCAGTGCCTTCCATATTAAAATTTTCTTCTTGCTAACGCTTTTCCTGTTAACATGATAAGAGTCTTAGTACGTTGAGAAGCCTGACATAGTGCTTAGGTGTACAAAGTCTAGCTGGAGGCCAGTAACTAGTGGTGTATGCCAGTGGTCGATACTGGTCAGCATCTTCCTTTATTATCTGGGTGATGAGACAGAGTGTGCCCTTGGCAGGTTTGCTGATGATACCAAACTGGGAGGAGCGGCTCATGCATCAGAGGGTCGTGCTGCTGTTCAGCAGAGAGACCCCACCAGGCTGGAGAAATGGGCTGACAGGAACCTCGTGCAGTTCAGCAAAGGGAAATGCCAAGTCCTGCACCGGGGGAGGAGTAACTCCAGGTATTGATATATGCTGGGGGCTCTCCATTTCAAAAGCAGCTTTGCAGAAGAGGGCAGTGAGGGTGCTGATGGAGGCCAAGGTGAACATGAGCCACCAATGTGTCCCCATGGCAAAAAAGGATAGCTGTCCCCCGAGCTGCATCAGGAGGAGTATTGCCAGCAGGTCAAGGGAGGTGATCCTTCCCCTGTGCTTGGCATCGGTAAGGACATGCCTGGAGTGCTGGGTCCAGTTCTGGGCTCCCCAGTACAAGAGAGGTCTGGAGCTACTGGAGAGAGCATGGCAAAGGGCTATGAAGGTGATTAAGGGTCTGGAGCATCTCTTAGGTGAGCAATGGCTGAGAGAGCTGGGACTGCTCCCCCTGGAGAAGAGAAGGTGCTGGGAGATCTTACCAATGTGTACGAATACTTGAAAGGAGGACGTAAAGAAGTCAGAGCCAGCTTCTTCTCAGCGGAGCCCAGTGATGGGACCAGAGGCAATGGGCACAAACTGAGGTTTTCTTTGAATGGAGGTTCTCTTTGAATGCTTTTTTACTATGAGGCTGAGCAGGCACTGGCACAGGCTGTCCGGAGAGATTGTAAAAAAACTCTTTTCTGGGACGTACTTGAAAGCCATTTGGACATGATCCTGGGAAGTTTGCTCTAGGTGACCCTGCTTGAGCGAGAGGATTGGACAAGATGACCCCTACAGGTCCCCTTCAACCTCAGCCATTCTGTGATTCTCAGTAGAAACCAGTTCTAGCTATTCTTTCTGGAACTGCAGGAGAGAATAGCTTTTCAGTTCTTGAGTCACAGAGATTATTCAGCAGTCTGTTGAAATGGGTGAAAACTGGTTTAAAGCAACTATGTAACTGCTATGTCAAAAAGCGATTAGTTGCAGAAAGAACTTAATTCTTGGAAAGTATTTTTGCTTTTTCATTCAAATATGCCACGACTCTTCATAAAAGTAGCTTCTTTATGTTTTAGAATACTGAATAAAGTGGGTGTGCTTAATTTGAAATCAAACTGCCTGCTTAATCAAAAACATTTTACTTGCAGCTTTTTGAAGAACATTAGGTATTGTGCTGGCATTGTATTGCCTTTTTTTACAGTTCCATTATCATAGAATACATACCAAGTATTTTGTGTGAGATCATCCGGCCTTAGATCTAGCTCTCCATTTTGCAGTTATTATGGGCACGATGCACAGTATGAATTGTTATTAGTAGTAACCAAATGGTTATTTCTTGCAATAAACTGGAAGGACTAGTTGCCTTACTCTGGAGAAGTGTCAGGTGAATAAAGACGTTGCTGGCTCTCAGTAGTTATAAGTGTTTTTGAAGTTATCCATTAAAACTTTCAAATAATTTCAGGAACAGTATGACTCATGGTTTTTGAACTCTTTTCACTTGCAATACTGTAGTAGTGATGTAGTAGAGATCTGATGTAGTCAGGTCCAGTCTTAGGGAAGGTTGAATTAGATACGTAGTTGGCTGTGGGTTTGTTTTTGTTTGATTTTGGGTTTTTTTGGAAAGCAGTTTACCTGGCTCTTTCTTCTTTAGCTCGACAAGCTTAAAATACAAAATGAGGAATGTTTCTTAACAGCAGAACTGTGAGCAGCCTAGTGCCCTTCCTACCTGTTTGTTTCACACTTGGGATCAATTCTCTTTTGACTGGGTGACAGAGATTTTGTGTCTTATAAAGGATTGCATACCTGTGGTGCTTTTGTCTTTAAGCTTGTGATCCACTGAGTTCTAGTGCTCCTGTTCAATAATGTCACTTCAACCATTAGTTGCCCAGAAAGGATGTTTGGAAAACTTTCATAGCCTTTTGAATCTTTAGGTTGAAAGTCAACAGTTAACTTATAATCCTTTGCAGTTGCTAAGGCATGCTGTGTTCTAAGGTTACTTTCACAAGGATTTTTATAGATTTTCTTCTCTGCCAGGTAAGGAAATACTTTTATTGAGTTTTTATGTCAAGACTCAGATGTGTTGGAGTTCTGTACTGAAAGAGTTGTAGACAATTTCCTGAAAAGTAACCTGAGAGTATTTAGCTGCAGCTTTTGTCTTGGTAAAACTCCATTTAGTTCTCGTGTCACTCCTCAGTATGTTAAAATTAGTGTTACTCCTCATAGTGGAACTAAATCTGATGGAAAGCTATCAAATTAACTTTTTAAAATTACTGCAATATTGTCTGGACATTTTAGTATTAAATAGGAAATACCTACTCATGTTTGTTTCCCTTGTCCCCTTTCTTCTGCACCATAGAAATCCGTTATGCAACTGTGTACTGGAACAGAGCTGCAAAAACACTTCAGGTCAGGAATACACTGGACAGGAGCGGAGATGCCTATGGTTTCTACAACAACAGTATACAGACAACAGGTTGGGGAGTTCTGGAGATCAGAGCAGGCTATGGCACTCAGACCTTAAGCAACGAAGATATCATGTATGCGGCTGGCTTCTTGGAAGGCTATCTGACAGCTCCGTAAGTACCTCAGGAAGCAACTCAGTTTGACACTTGTGGTTGATTCCTGTATACTTGTGAGTTTTTATTGTTTGGTTGGTTTCGTGCTTTCCCTTAATTCTCATCCATTTAAACTAATCATACATTTTGCAGTCGTCTGCCATTCTTTTAATTAGTGCCAGGTATGAAATATAGCATCTTCATTATGAACTCAAGATATGCCCTCTCCTCCTCATCCTGCAGGCTCTCCTTAACACCTTGGGTGAGATAGACAAGTACCATATATTACTGATTAAGTAATTCAATCACAGAATAACGTGTATTGAAGTGTGTAAGCCCTATATTGTAAGTCATTACAAAAGGAGTAGCAGAAAGAACAGTGATCTCCCCAGGCTGTTGTTAGGTGACTGGCCAGCAACACAAGCAACTGAGAGCAGATCAGGCAGGGAGAGATGTTGTTAGCAAGGACTGCGAGGCTTCCTTAAGGACCTTTTTCACCAAACGCTGTCAAGAAACTGCTGGTGAGTAGATACTGAAACTTCACAGCATGAGGAGTTTAGTCTCTCTGGGACAAATTAAAAAGTGCTGATATACTGATAGGCCTGAAGGCAGGCTGGTGTGTGTCTGAAAGGGTCAGCGTAGTCCTGAAAGCCCGTTGAAGAGAACCTGAGGGACTGAATCTCTCCTGCAATGCATATCTTTGAAAATTGACAGAATTGTGTACTTGTTATGAATACAGAGTCGTTTTTTTCCCTTAAGGGAAAAGAAAAACCAAACAAAACACCAAAAGAAATAAAAAATTCAACCAACTAAAAAAGTGAGCTATCCCAAACTCTATTATTTCTGTAACTCATTTGGAAGATGGAATGGCACTGGGACATACTAACTGGTACTATATAGCTGGTGATATAGCTAAGAACATGACACACAGAGTTTGTTGTTGAATGAACTCTGTCTTTTCCTCTGTCAGCTTAGTTGCAGGAAAAGAAAAATCCCCAATTTCTGATGCGTGGCTGCAGAACAGTTGGGAGATGCTTGTGATGGTTGCAGTGATGTGAATTTGGCTTAATCAGCTTTGCTTTTAGAACACTGAAATAAATACCCATAGGCTGCATTGGACAGGCCAGCAGGGGAAGGTTGTCTGTTGAATAATTGTCAGATATAGCTGCTAGACAAGATGATTTTAATTTAATTTGTAAGGCATTTTAAAATCACTTAAGATTTGTGGATAGTTCTCTGATCATATGATATGTTAATATGACTCAAGTAGACTTTGCTGGAGAGGCAGCTAGGTCTCTGGAGAGTATAAAGGAAGTTCAGTAAAGTGATATTTGTCA